TTTTTATTTTAACAGCAATAACCCTAGTAACAAATAATACATTCAAATAAAAAACTGATCAAATTCAGTGAAAATTCAAGCAGTTGGCAACTGGACTAAGGTTTTTTAATGCAATAAAAAATGTTACATTTTAAAATTAATGTGATATTTTATTATTATATTTAACTTACATTTTTAAGTCAATCGTTTTTTTTTTATATATATATTTTTGGCATTTTTGCCTTTCAGATTCAAATAGTACAGTTGGAGAGAGGACTGAAATTGAGGGGGTGGGGGTAGGAAAAGAACCACGAGCTGGGATTGAACCTGAAGCGCAATTGCATTATACAGTAGGGAAAATATTTATTTGATCCCCTGCTGATTTTGTAAGTTTGCCCACTTACAAAGAATTGAAGGGTGTAATTTTTATGGTAGGTTTATTTTAACGTATAGAGACAGAATACCAACCAAAAAATCCAGAACAAACACATTATTTAAAGGTTAGAAATTGATTTGCATTTCAGTGAGTGAAATAAGTATTTGATCCCCAAGCAAATCATGACTTAGTACTTGGTGCAGAAACCCTTGTTGGCAAGCACAGAGGTAAAACGTTTCTTGTAGTTGGTCACCAGGTTTGCACACATCTCAGGAGGGATTTTGATCCACTCCTCTTTACAGATCCTCTCTAAATCCTTAAGGTTTCTTGGCTGTCATTTGGCAACTCGAAGTTTCAGCTCCCTCCACAGATTTTCTATAGGATTGAGGTCTGGAGACTGGCTAGGCCACTCCATGACCTTAATGTGCTTCTTCTTGAGCCACTACTTTGTTGCCTTGGGGTTGTTTCGGGTCATTGTCATGCTGAAAGACCCATCCATGACCCATCTTCAGTGTTCTGGCTGAGGGAAGGAGGTTCTCGTCCAAGATTTTACAGTACATGGCCCCGTCTATTTGCCCCTCAATGCAAAGTCGTCCTGTACCCTTAGCAGAAAAACAGCCCAAAAGCATAATGTTTCCACCTCTGTGTTTGACTGTAAGGATGGTGTTCGTGGGGTCATTGTCAGCATTTCTCTCCCTCCAAACACGGCGAGTCGAATGAGGCAAGATCTTGCACGGAGCTCCAGACCGAGGGTGATTGATGGTTGTTTTGTATTTCTTCCATTTCCGAATAATCGCACCAACAGTTGTGTCCTTCTCACCAAGCTTCTTGCTGATGGTCTTGTAGCCCATTCAAGCCTTGTGCAGATATACAATCTTGTCTCTGACATCCTTTGACAGCCGTTTGGTCTTGCCCATGGTGGTGGGAGAGGTTGGAATGGAAGATACAGATTGTGTGGACAGGTGTCTTATACACCTAACGAGCTGACATTAGGAGTAACTTCTTAAAGCGGCAGGACTAAACTGTGTTCCACATGGACACATAAGCAGTCTGTGGGAGCCAGAATTCTTGCTAGTTGGTAGGGGATCAAATACTTTTTTCACTCACTGAAATGCAAATCAATTTCTAACCTTTAAATAATGTGTTTTTTCTGGATTTTTTGGTTGATATTCTGTCTCTATCTGTTAAAATAAACCTACCATAAAAATTACAGACCCTTCATTTCTTTGTAAGTGGGCAAACTTACAAAATCAGCAGGGGATCAAATAAATATTTTCCCCACTGTATGATGGAGCACATATTTGATCAGTTTTAGGTCTCTTTTTTAAATAATTTTTCTGTTACATTAAAAAATATTTTTCAACAATTAACTTTTAAATGTCTGTTTATTAAACTAATAATTTACTCCATTTTATTTTTAAGTTACACTTCTATTGCTCCATGAAAATCTTGTTTGTGTTCATAAAGCTGAAAACCTTTCATGTTTTAACACATAAACAGGACTCGCCACTGGATGCCAAACTCGAAGCTGCGGACATGATCCATGTGGAAGTGGTGGTTAAGAAAATAAACAAGATCAAGCATCAAAAGCCATTAAGGAGTGGCTATACAGAGAACCTGACTGTAGAGAACTACGAAAATTTAGTCATCGTCATGTTAGCGATACAAAGAAACATGGATGAATACTTCACCATTAAACGAGAGCTACAAAAGTAGGTAGAAAAAAAAATGAAAACACAATTTCCTCTGGTTCTTTCCAGGTACATTTGTGGATACAGACATATTCAGTCAAATGTAGTAGCATCTTCAGTGTCTTGCAGGGCTACAGTGGAGGAGATTAAGCAGCATGATCAGGAGATTACGCAGCTCAAGGAAACTGCCTCCTTGGAGAACATGGTCAACATTGAGATGGCCACTGGAGACATAATCTCCACTATCATCAATTTAAGCAATGTGAGTTCCAGAAATTATCTTTTAATTGAACAGATTATTCTTTAATCAATTAAATATAGCCAAAAATACTGTACATACCTGCTTACTTCAACCTTCAGCTAAAATGAAATCAAGGGTTGGATTCTGTTTCAGGCACATCTTTTGGACACCAGCACAGACTCACCACATCTCAACATGAGCAAGATACTGAAAGCTGGTGAACAAGCAACCTGAGCTCAAGATGACCCATTCCTCACAGAACTGGAAGATCAGAAAAAATACTGTGTACAAATTAACCAATCATAACAAATTGTTGCAAATTAACTTTGTATTTACAGTTTCTGTTTTCAATTTGTAGACTTCTATGTCATACTACTGCAGCTTCTGCATTTAACCGTCAAACTCTTAAGAGTTCTGGAATATTTTGTACATTTGTGTTAGAAATGTGACTGTAGAAAATGTTTTATGTTCAATGACAAATATCACGCATTCTAATTAATCCAAGCATGACATTTCTGTTTTTAAAATTGTACTGAAACTTCCTGTTAATAAAAAATGTGCATGTGAGTCTGAATGTGCAGTAATTTAGTGGTTAATTTCACCCAACAGTTTCTTTGATGGCAACAGCAGGTGTCGGTCCAATTGTAGCCTTTTTCTGGACGAACTGGTATTGTAGGGAAAAGGCAACTTCTTGATTTGAAAACTCTGATGGGGCATGACATAAACTCCAGGTATTCCATTTTTCTTGGCAAGTCCTCTTCAGGGCCTAAGCAAAGAAATAAATGTTTATACTGCAGTTATAAAAAGGAATCTTAAAAACATTTTAACCATGCTTCAAATTAGGATGACTAGTGATGATGCACTGACCACACATATGCAGGTTTACCAGATCAATGTAAATATCCTTTAACAATTATTTGCATATGCAATATTTGAAGTGCAACACATGTGTCAGCAAAAAAACAAAAAAAGTGTTTCTGCATTACTTGCCAAAAATAAATGTGCTTGGATCAAATCGATCTTGAGAACCGGACTGAGTTGGGATCAACCAAATTTATGCAGAGCTTTTCTCACAGTACTGGGGCCTACCCTGTACTATGATGGTAGATTAACAAATTCAGAGTTACAGGATTAGTTTCGAGTTGACAAAACCAAACCACTCCAATCCGGCTTTATTGGTACCATGATGTTGATCATCAACTTTCTTTGTCAACTCGGGCTTTGATCCTGAGTTTGTGGGGTGCATGCACATGAATGCCTGACATCATGGTGAACAGCCAATCACAACCCAGAGCAAGTGATTCACTTTTTGCAAGAGAACCAGCGAGATTCAAAGCTCTTTGTTAAAGTTTAAGAGATTAAAGAATATAAGGAATTTAAATGCATTTAGATTTAAGTACTTGTCCAAAAAAGAGGACAAATAAAGGAAATTATCTTGCTATAAGTGCAGTCACAAGTGAAAATTGAGAAGTTAGTTTATATAGTTGATAATATATAGCGATAGAGACTCGAACATGTAAGGTCACATGTAGCCATTCTTAAAGTGTTATCTATTCATTCTACCACTTATTTATATTGCATATGATCTGTATATATTAATATTCATTTAAAATAAATGCTTTATAATAATTGTTAAACTAAAAGTGCTTGCGTGTATGGATTAATAATAATTGTAATTATCATTAAAGTCAGACAATTTTGTTGCATTTTTTAAGGTACTTTATAGTGACCTTTAATTTGTAGGAAGAAAAACTGGGGGAGTGACTTTTTTTTGCATCAGACGTGTCACTTTGCTCACGTGATTGGTCCAATTTCAGTCTGAGATCTCTTAACCAGAACATAACCTGCCCCCGAGCAGGTTAGTTGTGCAGTGTAAGCTACTGTGGCAATGAACGCAGCTAAAAGCCAAGCCACATTCATGGTACCTAAAACCCAAAATTGGTGCAAACAAAACTGAAACTTACCTTAGCTTCATGGTACAGGCCCCTGGTCCTGGACAAAATCATGAACCTGTGCGTAATACAACTTTCCATCATCCTCATCTATTACTTTAATGACATCTCCTATTTGATAAAAGACACCCTGATCACAAGAAGTGCAGGTTACTGGATAGAAAGTGGCAGACAGAAAAGTACTTTGAACAAACACTTTTGAACAGTAGAAAGGAGCGGATTACCTTGTAGAACCCAGACTCTGATGTGTGACAATTGTTGATACAGACTGGTGCTTTGATAGAAGAGAAAGAAGATTAAAAGCCATTGACACATTTTATTAAACCACGTAAATATTGGAGGGAGAAAAAATTATTCACAAGCCTGAATGAAAAGCACTTACATTTTTCAATTTGAAAATGTGTCGTCTACTCTTTCCTTTGGTTGTGACTTTTTTCTCAGAAGCCGGGCCGGTGTAGTGCCGAAATTTGTACCCTGCCAGATTATGCACCCCCTAGTATTGGTCCATTTCAAAGAAATATGGTCTCCCAAATACATATCCTTAATTTTGAAAACAGTGAATAATTGGTCCTTTATATATATTTTACCAAATCTTACAAAAAAAAAAAACTTACAAGAACAAGAGAAGAAATTGAGCATTTTAAACTAAAATAAGCCAACAAATCTGTCAAGAAAAATATTTAACTGGATTTCATGTCATTCAATTTTAAGAAAGCATGTTTGTTGCATTAGTTTTTTCATGAACCACAATAAAACAGGACTGCACTTTAAACTTTTTAATCCGAGCAAACCTTTACCAATACTTTCTGTTTATTGGCTACACATCATACAAACTGGGAATGTATCAAGTATAGTCTATGAAAGTGCAAATGACAATGTAATGTTAATGGTCATGTTTCCTCAAAAAAAAGAAAAAAAAAGAAAGATAAAATACCACCACCATAAATACTTAAGTTAGGGGGGAAAACGGATGTAAAAACCGGTCGTTACTACACAAGATGATTTAATCAAATATCAAATATGTAAAAACTGGCCATCACTTTCAATGTAAAATTTTCTGGAAAAAAAGAAAAGAAAAGAAAAAAAACCCAGCAAACCTAAATACACCAACTATAATCAACAAATCTACATCTAGTCTTTCTTTTTCCCTTATATCATAATAATGTCAATAAAAGACACCTCTCTATAGGGCCACAGACCTTTCTAACTGTAATGTCATAAAAGACCATCAAAACATGGCAACCTGTTCAGTGTAATACAAAACATGAGGCTGTTGTCAACATGAACCAAAAACTATTCAATCTGATAAAAAGAAACATACTTTTTAGCAAGTGACTATAGAAACTGAATTTTTAGCAATTCATGAATATGTAAGGTTGCTTGTATTTGATTGACACAGCAAACACTTAACATAATTAGGCAACATGTATATAAATAAGAAAAAGTACGAACAAGGCACACCGATGAGCACAGTAAATTAAAGAAAAAAAAGGGGGGAAAAAATCTCTTCCCCACATCTAAAACCTTCCAACAATTATGTATCAGTAATAGAAATATTCTGGTTTAAATACACTTTAAGATCTATCAACAGTGTTGGAGTTACATTTTAAAGACATTGCTTTTGTTTTACAAACTAAGCGATGATGTGGTAACCGATAGCATAACACAGATGCGGTCTATACATCTTAAATTGTATTTAACCTAGAAAATTCCTTGAAAAGCCTCTTGGTTACTGCACAGTATGTTTTGTCAGTGAGGGATGTGATTGGCCTTCTGCAAAGGTTTGATAATTGGTAAACAGATGATTAATTTGGCATCATATGCCGTACATAAAATGAGACAAAAGAACTGTTTTTGTTGTTAAAGAGAATGACTTTCTATGTAATATGACATATACATAGTTCGGCACACAAACGAAAAAGGAAAAGCACTGTTGTTATCTCTCTATTGCTTCAGAAGACCTGTGAAGTGTCTTTATGCATATATATGCGTTATTCGTGAGGCCAAATTAAATACACAACACAGGATAATCAGAGGTATTGTGTGTAGTAGTCACAATAGATAAGGTAATAAATGCCCTCACATTCTCAGGAGTGTAAATTTACATGAAGTGTAACCTTTTGGAAGCGAACAAGGTCTTCTGCAGGACAATATGTTGAAGAACAAACAGTTTGAAGATTTCAAAACACTCCTTATTTTTAACATGAAATGTGCATTGTGCAATCTGCACTTGCATTAAATGTGACTTAAATTAAATAAAAAGAACATTAGTGTTTTTAAATAAAGCAATAAATTGGCATTGCTAAATAGGAGAACTGTAGAATTAAAAACAAAACAGGGCAAAAAGTTCAGGTCTTAATAGTGGCTTCACACTGTTTCACTGTCACTGTAAGAGCCAAGAAACATTGGATTGATGCTTTCATGTATTTTCTTCTGCACGTAAACATTCCTTTTTCTTTTTAGAAAGATACAACTGTCAAAAATTCATCCATTTCATTTCCATTCATTTGAACTTAAAAGAAAAAATGACTTTCCAATCTAATACAGATGGAGCTTTCTCTCATGGCACCCACAGCAAGATTTCTAGAAATGGCCAAAGTGGCCTTGCTCGGCTTGAAACGAAAACCTGAAAATGAGACTTCCCTATGATGATGTATGTTCATTTCTCCAATCATTTAGAGTGCATAAACTCCGCCTCTTTCTTACAATCGACTGCAATCAACACAGCAGTGGATAAAACCAAGGCACCACCTAACATTTTTTTTCTTTTCCAAATATCCATTTCACTCAGATGTACACCACAATATGGAATAAAATACCTGTCGCTACTTCCATTTCAATGCGAGTTTAATACTTTGCAACATTCACTTATAACTGTATTCTTATGTGCACAGAAATGGTTCTTACACGAAATTTCCACCTGATTACTCTCAACAGGTAGGCATGTAAATTTGCTCTTACTGTCTTTCTAATGTTAATGAATCCAGATTATTCTACATACAAAATAAAGACCTTTTATATAGGCCTAACAACAAATTTTTATGCAGAACCCATTGCAGATCTAAAATGTGTCATTTTTTTAATGCTAAATCATTTTTGGGTCACTCAGCTGTTCAAATTTCCAAGTCCGTATAAACTTTTCGGCTTAAACCATTTCATGTTTCTAAGGCCACCAGGACTGATTTTTACATACATACATACATACATACAGTTTTAGTTGGTTCTAAATTTTATGTTAAATGTAGAAAACAATCGAAGTTCTAAGATATTAGTGAATTATGATTTCTGTGCAAAAACATTCATACACACACAAATACGGTTAGTGAATGAGACCCACTCTTCTCTCATCTACTTTCATAAGCTTGAATCTGACCACAATTTCTTGTTTCTTCCACCAGACACGGTGCAACACACAACTAAGACAAGTCCCGTCTAACCCCAATGCACCTGGCTCATTCTTCTCCATTTCTGAACAAGCAATTCTGCTTTTATTTAGTGTTTTGGCACGATAAGAGCACTCAGTTGGTAAACATAATTAGACTTTTTCCTCACACTAGGTGCACTTCTTCCTCCCACTCTAAGGAGAGGTCGGTTACCTGCGGATCCCGATCAGTACTGCTCTCCAGACAAACTGCGCTAGTGAGATCTACACTGCCACTCGAACCCTCCAAGTCTGGCTCTGCTTTAGGAGGTTGTGCATCATCCACACATTCTAGCTCCAAAAGCTGCGATGCCAACACGTCTGTGCTCTCTTTCATTACCGATAGGGAACCCTGCTCAGGACTCCCCACCTCATTCTCCTCGTCCTGGGTTTTGGCAGATTGTCCCTCTCCAAAAACGGGTAGCTCGGGACTGGCATCTGCGGCGGCTGAGGGAATCAGTGCAATGCTCTGTGGATTCATATCGTGGAACCAGGCCATAATGTTGCCAAGCAGGTTGGCATTGGTGCAAGGGTCCAGGCAGTCTGGGTCACTAGGGGTGAAGGCGTTACCCAAGGCATCAGGGTAGGAACTCATGTTAAAGGGTGTATAGTGGCTGGTAATGTTGCCCAGTCTAAATGTCCAATTACATGTAAAACTTTTCGGCTTAAACCATTTCGTGTTTCTAAGGCCACCAGGACTGATTTTTACATACGTGTGCAGTTTTAGTTGGTTCTAAATTTTATGCTAAATGTAGAAAAAAAATCCAAGTACTAAGATATTAATGAATTTTCTGTTCAAAAACATTCATACACACAAATACGGTTAGTGAATGAGACCCACTCTTCTCTCATCTACTTTCATAAGCTTGAATCTGACCACAATTTCTTGTTTCTTCCACCAGACACGGTGCAACACACAACTAAGACAAGTCCCGTCTAACCCCAATGCACCTGGCTCATTCTTCTCCATTTCTGAACAAGCAATTCTGCTTTTATTTAGTGTTTTGGCACGATAAGAGCACTCAGTTGGTAAACATAATTAGACTTTTTCCTCACACTAGGTGCACTTCTTCCTCCCACTCTAAGGAGAGGTCGGTTACCTGCGGATCCCGATCAGTACTGCTCTCCAGACAAACTGCGCTAGTGAGATCTACACTGCCACTCGAACCCTCCAAGTCTGGCTCTGCTTTAGGAGGTTGTGCATCATCCACACATTCTAGCTCCAAAAGCTGCGATGCCAACACGTCTGTGCTCTCTTTCATTACCGATAGGGAACCCTGCTCAGGACTCCCCACCTCATTCTCCTCGTCCTGGGTTTTGGCAGATTGTCCCTCTCCAAAAACGGGTAGCTCGGGACTGGCATCTGCGGCGGCTGAGGGAATCAGTGCAATGCTCTGTGGATTCATATCGTGGAACCAGGCCATAATGTTGCCAAGCAGGTTGGCATTGGTGGAAGGGTCCAGGCAGTCTGGGTCACTAGGGGTGAAGGCGTTACCCAAGGCATCAGGGTAGGAATTCATGTTAAAGGGTGTATAGTGGCTGGTAATGTTGCCCAGTCTCATAAGGCTGTCTCCCAGCTCCAGAAGCTCAGAGCTGCTCATGGAAGCTCGGGGGGGATCCGCAGTATGGGGCACAGAATCCAGTCTAGAGGGCAGAGAGGAACCACTGGCACCAACAGAGGCATCGTTACTGAGCACATCCTGAGGCTCGGGGTCCAAGGCCAGCCCGGACTCCTGTAGGGACAGCTGAATAGCCAACAAAATATTGGGGTCATCTTCATCCAGAGACCCAAGTTCCTGAGGGATAAAAAAGGTTCAAATTCTCAATATATGCTCTTTGACTCATTTTTAAGCTACAATACCATTCAAATGTATGGGGTCAGTAAGATTTTTTTAAAGAAATTATTACTTTTATTCAGCAAGGATGCATTAAAAAAAATTCATCAACACATTAATAATGTTACTAAGGATTTCTATTTCAAATAAATGCTGCTTTTTAACCTTCAATTTATCAAATAATTCTGGGGAAAAAAAAATGCATCACAGTTTCCACAAAAATATTAGGCAGCACAACGGTTTTTAACAATGATAAGAAATGTTTCAGCATGCTAGAATGATTTCTGGAGGATCATGTGACACTAAAGACCAAAGTAATGGCTGCTGAAAATTCAGCTTTGCCATCACAAGAATAAAATACATTTTAAAACATATTCAAATAGAAAACAGTTATTTAAATTGTAGTAAAATTTCACAATACTGCTTTACCATGCTTTTGATCAAATAAATGCAGCCTTGGTGAGACTTTTTCCCAAAAACATTCAAAAAATCCTACCAACCCCAAAATGTTCAATGGCAGTGTATGTTTTTAAATGTCGTTTCATGTTTAAATAGCATATAAAATATTTTCTGGTTTATGAAAATGTATACAATATTTTGTTTAATTTAGCAATTTCGTTGACTAAATTTAGATGCCATTTTATAGTAAATTTGACAAAAATGAAAATATATGAAATAGTAACTAAATTATTTTATTCAAAATACAAAAATATGACCAAAACAAAATGGAAAAATTAACGCTGCATCAGGTTTAGGGCTGCAAAACGATTAATCGCGATTAATAACATTCAAAATAAACGTTTATGTTTACATCCTATATGTGTGTACTGTGAATATTTATTATGTATATATATATATATATATATATATATATATAAATACACACACATACATGAATATATTAAGGAAAAATATGTTAGATTGATATATATAAAATATTTATATTTATATATAATATAAATTATATACTGTGTATTTATATATACATAATAAATACACACAGTACACACATATAGTATGTAAATATAAACGTTTATTTTGAATGCGATTAATCGTTTTGCAGCCCTAATCAGGTTAGAAAATCTTTACATATAAACAGTATATTCACCGTGGAGATCCCATGCCTTGGTGTATTGCCTCCCTCATGTGTTTCTGTAGACACAAATTGCACATACAGAAATTTCAAACTCTGTAACATCGCCATAAAGCAGCTCTTTCAGTTAAGTCTATCCTAACTTTATGTGGGGTCACTATCTCTGTCAGGAGCTTTACCTAAAGTGTTGTCATTGGAGTCATGTGGTTCAGGGGTGTTACTGCGGAGGCTGTGCAGTCTGAGAAGGTCTCCTCTACGTCTCTGCCTGTGTCTCCGTCTGTACTGGAAATCTGAGTATTCCTGCAGTAACCATCAACCTCAGTTTAATTACAAATATACATGATTTGTTGTCAAGGAGCAGTAACTAAAGGGTTAGTTCACCCAAAAATGAAAATTAGACTGTTTTACTCACCCTCGAGGCATCCTAGGTGTATATGACTTTCTTCTTTCAGACGAATCCAGTCGGAGTTATATTAAAAATTGTCCTGGCTATTCCAAGCTCTATCATTGCAGTCAGCGGGTGTTGCAGTTGAACAGTCCACAAGTCATCAAATAAAGCGCGCGCATTCATAATTAACGTGCCTCACACCGCTCCGGGGGGGGTGCGGGGGGAAAATAATCAAACTTAATAAACACTTTTCTCTCACTTCCGTTATCTGTCATACGCGGAAGGCGATCCGGCGGATGACGTAAGACGCTGCGTGATTAATGACAAACGCAGAGAGAGAACAAAACAAAACACCGGTCATGAATTAATGAATTAGAAGTACAAAACAAGGATTTGTAAAGAGAAATGTCGGAGGATTTCGATATATAAACCAAGAGGAGACTGGTTTTCCATTGCTAAAGTAAAGAAACTTTACTTCCTTTGCTCCTATAAACAAACTCGCGAGACTAGCATATCTCAGAGGCGCACGCTCTGCATACGTGCTCCGTCATCCACCGGTAGGCCTGTCGCGATAATTAAATAACCGTCGAATCGCGATTATTTGATATAACCGCGGTTGTTTCAGACAACTGCGATTATTGTACTTTTTATACGACACAAGGGGGAGTCATACACCAAAAGAAACAGAAGAGCATCAGTTTGCTTTTCATGCACTGTATAGCCTATACAGGGCTCCAGACTCATTCTTCCTACTGGTCGCTCTTTTGCAACTAACTTTCTCAACTAACTTTCTCAGCTGGTCGCACGAGCACATGATTTGGTCGCAATATTTTTTTTTGCTCTACAACATGGGATTATTCAATGTGTGCTGATAAACTTTTATCATAGTTTATAGTTATATGGAAACGAAAGTGATTAACATTCAACCCGTTCTTTATCATCAGTAGTATTATTTGTGATTTAAATGTTGTGAATGGGTGAATGTTTCTTTCTCTTTTGCTGTGTTAAGCCGCAGGCTTCAGATGCTTTCACTTTCGAATTCGCGATCTTGTTGTCACTGTTTTGCTTACATACATCTACACACCTTTCATTTTTTTAAGACTAAAACAAAATATGGATTCATTGTTATTCTTAATTAAAAAGCACAACAACAATAAACCAGCAAGAACGAATAAGATTAGGCATGGCACACACCACATGCTGTATTATATACCGACTAATAAATTACAGAACGTTTAGCAAACACTGAGGAATCAAATAAATA